CCACAGAGATTTTAGGCCAGGATTTTTATTCCTCTGGTGTTGCATTTTGTTATGTGCCATTCAGGACAGAGCCAAAGTCATACAAGCAGGCGGGTGAAAGCAGTGCTAAGCTTTTCCTTGTCACAACAACATGTCAGGGAATCTCTAATAGCTATTTTTATTCTTGCATTGGTTGACTCAAATCCATTCCATTCAGAATTACTGCCCTGATATTTGAACCTTTCAGGCAGACTGCCAGTGGCAGCACCTTATTTTTCCTGTTGGAAAAGGAGAGAAAAAAATCGTTGACACGTAATTAATGGAACCAGATAGAAATTGAAATCTGAATGACACCCATTATTGAATAATGAGCTTCAAATCCTTTGTTACGAATCACTTTAACAGAGCAATGGTATGAGAAGATTCAGGCAGGATAGCAACTTGTTTTACTTGAGCACTGATTTGTACTGAGACAAATGCTCATGAGGGTTTTTCCACTGAAGAGATAACCTCTACAGAGCAAAATCTTGGTACCAAAGTGGCAAAACAGCAGTCAGGAACAATCAAGACACCAAACACATAATGGAAAATCAGAGCAAACACTTAAAAGCCCCTGTTTCTGTTTGCTTGCAGGGCAGTGAGCCCATGTGGCCCCAGGCACAGGCAATCCTGCATGTCCTGGGTGCTGGGCAGGCACTGGGTGTGGGAGGTGAGCCTGGAGCACTTTGTGCATCCTGCCCTTAAGTTGCCTTACAGCTGTGAGACCATAACTTGTGGGTGGGAGGGTCTGTGACCCATGTGCTGTGCCTGATCACACTAGTGGAAGGAGAGGGAGATGAGAAGCTGACTTTGCCTTCTCTGACTCCCTGAATCTCTTCTTGAGTGTTGGTGTATAATTTTATTTAGAATCAGAATGTAGAGTTCTAGATGGGTGAACTCTATCTTGCATCTACTTTTATGAAGTATCCATCCACAAATGTGTTTCCGTCAGTGTAACTGTTGTCTCTCAGAATGCAAAATATTACTAATGGATAGATTCCCATTGAATACTAAGATACAATTAATTTTTCTTTTCAATTAAGGGGCAGCATTGATGCCCTAAGATCTCAGAATATTGAAAGCAATTGTAGATTAACTTAGAAACTAAATTAGAATTAACAAAGCAAAATTCAAATTTGCAAAACTGTTTTTGTGCTGTAAGAGGTAGGTTTTATGTTGGATAAATGGTTATAACTATAATTTGAATTATCTTTTTATCAGTCCCAAAATATCAAGTGTCTCTATTACATGAAATGTAGATAGGTTTTGAAGGCGTTTTGGGTAGTATGGATAGAAACAACTGTAGGATAGCTGAAATTCTAGGGCAGCTCAGAGATGTTTTAAGAAAGTGTGATTCTGTAATGTTTTTAAGATGAAAGAGGAAAAACAAACAAATATTTGCCTGTTTTAATAAGGCACTCCACAAAGATTTTGACATCTGTTTTTAGTGGTAACTGAAAGCTAAAAGGTTTTGAGAAACTGCTGTTACAGTGCTGTCTCTGTGGGTAGAATCAGAGGAATATTCTTTAATGGCACATCCCAGGATCTGAGCTGACAAAGCTGATTTCTATGCAAAATGTGCAAGCCACAGTCTTTTTATATGCCTTTTGGAAAAAACTACTCGACCTCTGGTAAAGTGATTGCAATGCTCCAGAAGTTCAAAGATTTGCTCCAGTTAGATCCCTTGCAATTCAGACAACTATTGACATTTTTCTTTCATATCTCTGGACAAATTCCCCTGCCTGAATGCAAGCCCGCCTCATGCTCTCTTGCTTTGACTCATTCCTGATCTCAATCAGCTCCCACTCAAGCTCCTGTATTGCTTGAAGAATGTCTGTATCAGGCACGCTCAGGGACTTTCCTCAGTGTTAGAAAGGTGCAAAATCTATTCAGTGTCTCTGCCTGTGAGGAAGCCTGTCAGCCAGGAAGATTTGGAGACAGCCCAGTTAAGCATTATTGAGTCTGCTGAGACACAACTGAGTGTTTCAGAGAGTATCAGCAAAGGGATCCCCCCCCACCTTTTGGAGAACACATGGCTGGGTGATTATATGTGTCCAGGTGGACCTGTCTCTGGAAAATGTGATATGGTATATGCTGTTGACAAAAGTCACGTTCCAAGATAGTTTATATCTTATTTTTGTGAAAAGTGTCACCCCTGACATAATCTACCTACTCACCTTTTTGGATCTTTTTTTTTGGAGGTGCACTGAAGACCAAATATAATTCACTTGTAGGAAGAATTTCTGGAAGAGTCAAATAGTAAAAACTTTTACTACAATCTTGCTTTAATACCTGACATGTTAAGTTGAAAAGGCACCTTATTTTACACATTTTTTATTACAGGTATGTAGAGTCCAGTTTAAATGATTTTATATCTGATTCAACCTCTTAATGGGAACAGGTTTTTTTCTAAAAAGGGAACAGGGTTAAAATGTCTAAAATGGTGCCTTTATTAGTGCTTGTCACTTAAAATAATGATATGGTAGCTCAGTGTGCTTCCTGCAATTGCATATGATGTGCCCATGTTAATACTGCAAATGCCTTAGGTAGTATAGAAATCCTACTGGTCTTTAAGAATTGTGTCACCAATCAAGTGTACATTAGGCAGCTGTGTTGTGTCTTGACTTGAAGCTATTTCACTTTAATTTTTTTTTATCTGCTCAGCTGTGGTATTCTGATGGGACTGGAGAAGATAAGGTTACAGGAAGAGGCTGATATGAGAAAACCTTATGTGCTACATGAGATTGAGTGGGTCAAATGCATGGTACTGTATATAGATAAAGAAGTCTATTCTTGTTTGTTAAAAGTTTTATTATGGAGCAGAGGAAGAGATAGTGCTGCTTCATCCCTGTTTCAATCCAGTAGAAGTCCATTCCTCATCTAAGCTTTAGTGACTGTTTATTCAATCTGATATAATGTCTTTGGGAAGAATGACATAAAAGAAATGTCTGGAGAGGAAAATGCCACTTGACCTCACAGGCTTGTCCCCCCTTAAGTTTCTCTTAATCCACAGTTTTCTGTTTTGTCACTATATCCTTTAATCCTCTCACTCTCCATAAAAGTGCCAAGATGTCTCCAAGCCACTTAGGCTGCAGTACTTCTTTCCGTATTCTGACTTGGCAACTAATTCCATGAGTTCATTATTCTGACCCTGAGTGAAATAGTTTGAATTTCCGGTATGTACAGTTATTTTGGGTTATGACTTCTGACTTTTGAACTCTTCACCAGAATGGACCATTTAAATCTCTTCATCAGCTCTGAGTTCTGTTACTGAGTCAACTCAGTGTCAATATTCCTGTAACAGCATTATGCTAGTCAGAATTTCTTCCTGCATCTTCTCATGGAATGACTGCAGGCTCTTCTGTTCAGAGGGCATGATCCTTCCACTATTATTCATGTTCTTCAGGAGCCATGGGATTGTTTACAGCATATGAGACACTTAGGTGTTTCATGAAAGTAAAATTGGATTCAGTAACTGATAGTCCTTGTGTATTTCATGCTATCTGCAACTGTGCTGGACTGCATCCTGATCTCATCTGCAGGAATACAAATAGGAAGTAGCACAAACCATTTTGTACATTATCTGAGTGCAAAAGGAGGTATAAACTGAGAAAGCATGGAGGACTCTGGTATTCCCAATCTGCAGTTCTTCCTCACTGTAATAAAAACATTCTATATGCATTTTGTTTTCAGTGTTTATAACATGTAGAATAAAATAATAATAATAAAAAAAGCAGATATTAAATATCCAGTCACTGCACATGGAAATAGATAATGTAATTTATTTTTTCTTTCACACGTTCTGCTCTGTAGCTATAGGAAGTAATATGATATTAAAGAGTGATTTTTATTGCTACTACTTCCTCCATTTCTTGTATTGATATTGTCAAGTAGTCCTGTAAAATAAACTAGCAGCCCAGACCCACTTATTTCAGCCAAATGTTAGTCTACCAGTACATATCTTTAGTGAAGACTGATTTGGTGGAAGGGAGTTTAACTGAGGGTGCAAAATGGATGTACGGATGAAGTCGCAGCTGGAACTGTTTTGAAGTTTGTGTAAAAGCCGATACTAATCTCCTAAAATGCACTCTCAGCCAAAAAAGAGCAGAAAAAGGCTTACACCACTGAAGTGGTATTTACTATTTTTTATTTCCTTCCTTAGCTTAGCTTACTATCAGCCATGGGAATTTACAAGCTTTCCAAAAAGGCTGAAGAAATCCAGGAAACCACAATGACAGATCCACTTGAAAAGACCATTTCATGAGAGTGAATTGAGAAAATACAAAATATTTTTTTATCAGTGACTGAAAATATCTATTAGAAGGATCACTAATAATACAAAGTTCAGTGCAATAAAAGGAGCATTTCCCATGCACAGCTGGCAGACATTTGTTTGCATCAATATTTTTTTCACATGAAAGCCACTATAAGCAGCCTACTTTTCTCAGAAGTGTGTGCAAGGTTAAAAATTTCATGTACAGTCTTTAAACAAACAATTTTTTTATTCTCTTTAAAAATTAATTCATAAACAAGAGATCTGCCAGGAAAAACCTCTATGTTTTTGAGAGGTTTGGTTTTTTTTTTTGGACTATACAAGTATCAATAAAAATTGAGTAAAAGTTTGATTTTGTCAACAACATAAAATGTTGATCAGTATAAGAGAAAAAAACCTCTTGTTCTGAATTTGTTGGGCTTGAAAATTCTTCCTTCTATTTTGGCCAGAAATTAAGGTACAATGAGGAAGGAAGCCTTGATAGAGGTATGTTAGTAGCTGTCAGCCAGAACCAGAAATTGCAGAGGTACACAAAAATGAACCAAGGGGGGGGGGAAGGGAAGAAATTCCTTGCAGATCTCAAAGAAACAAGTACAAAATAAAAAAACCTTGGCTTGAGGTGAGGGTAATGATTTGGTGCTGTTACTCTTTATTGTTCCAATTTTTGAGGAAGATTTTTATCTCCAGATGTTATTTTTTTATTTCCTAGGACAAATTCAGAGAGCAGACTTTAAGGACTCCTACTCAGATGATTTTGAGAGAACGTCTGACCAGTATGTTCAAAGGGAGAAGAGTTAGTCCCAAAATACCTTGTATTTGAAATATATGTGGAAATCACTAACATACCAACAGAGTGGAATCTGAAGTGTAATACTAGTGGGAATAGCCAGACATGGTAATTAGTGAAGTCCTGCTGTATATCCAGGCATGTGGGTTTTAGATTCCTTCTGGAAAATGCTCTCTGTCATTTGCACTGTTCTTATTTTTTCATGCTTTGCCGAGTTCCCCTGCTTATTCTCATGAATGTCCCCTTTAGTCTCATGAATGGAAGTTCCCTTGTCAGCTGCCTGCAGGTGATAACAGTATCACACGAAAGCAGCCTGTGGCCAGTGATGCCTATCCCAAGTGTGTTTCTTTTGGAGTAGAGCCACAGTTAGAAAAAGTTTTTGGTGCTAATGAAGGCATATGGGCCCACACTCTCCAAACTATTAGCTGGCTGTTTCAAGAGGCTTTTTTTTTTCTGGATTCCACAACATGATTTCTAGTATGTTCAATACCAAAAGCTATTAATTTAATGGGATTGAGATTGTTTCCAATAACAGAGTGCTCCACTGTTTCCTTGTAAAAAATAGTCATATGGGGTTTTTTGTAGATTACATGCAGTCTTCATGATTTTTTTATTTCCATGGAAGATGCCTACAGTTATTAACTAACTTCAGGCTTAATTAGCTTATTAGTTTGTCTTGTAACTCTGCTTGCCCTTTAAAGATGCAGCCGATTTCCAAATGTTGCCCAGCATCATTTTGTACTTATTTCAATTTTGTGGATGTTTGGTGATGAATTCTTGGTTTTGAATCTAGTATAAGTAACTATGCCTATATAGAGCATCGTTTGCTCTACATAAAATATTGTACTGGCACCAATGTAAGCAGAGCTGAAATGCCTAGCAGGCCACAGCATAATAAATCAGAATGATTAGTCATCCTCCTGGGACACAGATGAGTCAGCTCAGGTCAAGACACTTCTGGGAAAATGAGATAGCTAGTAAATGTATTACCAGCTGACTATCAAAGTCCCTGTGCCATACCAGGAAATATCTCTGACTTGGGCAATTCTTCCCTTCCTACAATTACAGAAACAAAACAACTGCTTAATAACTCATTCTCTTTCCTCGTAGTCCTTGCTACCAGTTTTGGCAAACCAAACAGATTGTTTCTCCATGACACTCTGTATTTGTGGGCTAACAACAAAGCTTTTTGTTAGATGAAATACTATCTGCCATGTAACATGCCAACTTTTTTTCTTCTAGTAGACAAGAAGCAGAGTTACCTCATGATCTTTTTAAATTTATTTCTTTAATCATGTTTTATTCTCTTCTCAAATAAGGTCCAGATTTGGACCTTTATTTGAGAATAAAGCAAGATCATTTTCTTTTACTGCATGACATTCTATCATGATGTGCAGAATTAAAGCCTGTGCTCCCACCTGAGTAAAGATTGCATAGTTTGCTCCATTATTGAGATGTGAAACGAAAAAACCATCTGGTCTCATAAATTTCTCTTCCTTTTCATACTGGTAGTTAAGGAAAAACTTGAAATGCCCTGGTGAGACTGAGCATTGATGCTTCAAGGTGAACATATTTCTTAATCTGAGCTGAAAATATCCACAGCTCTTTTTCATTTTGATTGGCAGGGCTGATCAGCAGATACACAAGGCCTTCTGCGTGTCCGTTCAGCTTATGAAAGTACCTGCTCTCCAAATAAAACATAAACTCCTTCTATCTTAGCCTTTTTCATATAATCTTATTTCAGATCTCTCTAGATATGCCACAAACAGGGGTGGCCTCGGTGATTGTCCATGACCTCAGCAAGGATAAATTTACTGGGGAGTCTGTTAGTTCCCTCCTCTCCCTCCCTTCCACCTGCCTGTGCCCATTAGCACTTCTCAGCACAGCGTGTCAGCCAGGACCTGTTGAACATCACAGCTGGACCCAGGTCTGATCTAATAATTCTCCTCTGTCATTCATGCTGCTGAAGCTTTGCAGCTTTCAGCTGTAGCCTCACTTAAGTGTGTTCTCTTTATCTTGTGTGTACCTGTGTATCAGAGGTGTGGTACCATCCAGAGATTTGGGACAAAAAGAGCTGATGGGAGTGGAACTGTCTGGAAATGTTCCAGTGACGCCAAGGTCTACAAACACAGATCTATTGAGGCTGAAATGTTTGGAATTACATGCATTTTTGCTGAATTGCTGAAGCTTTGCTAAAGAATATAATCTGGCATCTGGCTGTTTTAGGAATATGATCTCAGTGCCTCTTGGAGCCTCAGATCTCAGGCTGACCAATAGTGGCCTGCCTTGTAAGCATGAGGAAACTTGAGGAACTCTGCAGAGAAGCAGCCCACCTAAGGATGTGCTCTGGAAGATGGGTTCCTTGTGTTCAGTCCTTTGTTTCATCACTGTACAGGTCTTTGCCAAGGATTATACCCACACATGTGAGGCCGAGTATCTGGAACCTCCGAGATCTACAGTAGTGAAGCTGGAAACAGCACCAAACACATTTCTATTCCTACAGCATGTGACCTTCTTTGTATTCACTTCTTCAAATTTCACCAGGACAAACATTTATATAAAGAGTAATTGTGACTCAGAATTTTACCAGTGAATATATGCATTTCAGAATTTGTATTCTGTGAGCCATACAAGTCTTAAAAGTTTGCTTTTGAATGAGAGGCTCATTTTACTTGCCAACACAGTGTAGGTGATGCACGGGTCCTCTCTTGCAATGAAGGAGTTGCAGCTGAAGGAGCATATCTCACGTCTTTTGACATTTTTGCTGTTTGAGTTATAGACCTATATGGTCTTTCATGGTACATCTTAGAATTTTGCAATGTGTGGACAACTTGCATGCATGGAAAAAAATAATGAAATTATTTACTTAGATCCAGTCTGTACATGCCAGTGATGTTCAGGTAATAAATAACTTTGTGCAAATAGATAAAATTATCTACAATGTGATACATTTGTATACTTAGTCCCTCATTGCTTTTTTAGTCACTTACCTGCTGTGGCCAGAACTACACTTTCTAAACCTATGAAAAACCTGAATTAGTTTCAGAAGGGGAAAAAGAGTTTTGTCACAACAGAGTTTGATTATTCCTCTCTGGTAGACATCATGAAAGATTTGATATTGCTGTGGTAGATAAGTGTGATTCTTAGGTTTTTCTGAGTGATGTTTTTGAAGCCGTGTTTAGAGAGCTTGGCAATGGACACTTTACAAGCCTCAAGGTACGATACACGTCCTGTGGACTGAAAGGTTCTGTTTCCTAGGCTGGATGGGATTCTAAGCCTTCAGACAGATGTCTCTTATACAGGGCTCCTGGGAGATTCAGATGTTACACTGGTTCTCTCCTGATGATAAAGCTCAGTTAAGTATCCCTTAAAGATTTAAAAACGTAGGCGTTAGTCCTACAGTATAAGGCACATCAATTCACTGGATTCAGCTAAAGATTTACTTGATAACAGGTGTCCTCTAGCACATATCACATGGCAGGACTGAACAGATTCTCCTTGGCTTTGGTTTCTGTGAAGCTTTTACCTGAGAATAAGGAAAATGGCTGTTGCAGCCATATGCATACTGTTCTCAGTGGCTTAAAAATCTTAGTGGTCTGCAGAAATTGAATGACTGGTACTCTTGTCTGACTGAACAGATCTGGTTATCACCTACCATTATTGGTTTTTTTCTATTGCTGCAGTTGTGAATGGGACTTTAGAAATATAGGCAGTAATGTCAATGCCAGAGTATATGACTGAAATTGGAATGCTATCTTGGTCTTCTGGATTTTCATTTGTAACATGGATCTTAATTCTCTAGAAAATCCACGTAGAAGTGTGCTTTTGGCTTTACGTATCTCTTTTGGCCTCGTTTATTGCAAACAGAACTTCTCTATTAGAAGACCTTTCCACAGAGAACTCTTTGTAGGATTAGGACTGCGAGCAAACTGTGACAGAAATGCCAGCTGTGACATAGGATTGCATGTCAGTGCTGGGGGAAGATGGTGCAGTACTTCTCATTCACAGATTTTGAGAACTTCGGTGTCATTTTACAGTGATATTTCAAGATTACTCAGCAGATAAGTGACATGGCTGGGAATGAAGTCCAAGTGTCCTGAGCACCAGTCCGTTCCACCTCTGAAGAAGCAAGGTTTGCAGAGAGCTGTAGGAAATGCCCTGTTTGCCTGTGTTTCACCCCAGGAATGGAATGCTAGGTTAGCAGCATTTATTTTCCTATCTTGATCCCCCTAATTTTTACTTTTTAAAGAGCCCTCTTTGTGATGGAGCTTCTTGCAAACTCCGAAACATGTTGCTAGTAGAGCCTGGAAAATTTCTTGCAAGTTACTGATGTTTGTAAAATGGTGATTCCTAAACTTTGCTTATGGAGTTTGGAAATGGTGGTGGGAGGTACCGGTCTTGTGGCAGCATGTCAGCTGTGGTCCTGCGTGCCACTTGGATCCCACTGAGGACTGGTTTGGAGAGCAAAGCATGGCTGATCCTGCCTCTGCCCTGTAATGGATTTCACCCCATTGCACTTGCTCTGAAGTTAATGGATTTAGAGATACAAACTTGCTGTGTGTTTCTTGGTCTGGAGCTAAACAGATTGCTGCACTTAAAAGCCCCACCACCCATTGCTACGAATCTATTAAAGATCTCCAGTTAACTACGTAACCTCCTGCTTCAGCAGCTGAGCATGTAAATTCCTGTGACCAAATAGCTGCACAGCTAACTGCTTTCACATGTTCTCCCACCATGCCCATCTCAAAAGGTGAAATCCTAGCCTGCCTTCACCCCATGGGCAGTTGGCTGGTGACCAGGACACGGTTGTTTTGAGGGTTGGATGGGGCACCCTGGAGCCCTACTCTTCATGACTCCTGAGAGCAGGGCAGAGGCGGCCCAGGCGATGGTGGGGCCTCTGGCTTGCCCTCATCCTCCTTTCCTCCTGGAACTAAGAGCCTGTGGCTGCTGCAGAAAGCCAGACTTGCTGCCAGGCTTTCCCGGGACCTGATCCTGCTGGAACCAGGTGATA